CTGTCATTCAATCCTCTAAATGATCTGACTACCTTCTGTTGATCTTTCCTTGTGCTTCTACCACTTTCTCATTTATTCTTATACGATGACTGATCTTTGGTCTAGTGCTCCTACTTTGGTGCATTTGTGCCTTGTGCTCTCTCCAATTGCTGTGTTCTTCCTAAGATAGCTGGTGGTTCTCTATTCACATGTTAAGATCCTATTCAAAAGTTGCCTTAGAAGACTCTTTAAGTCACAAGGTCTTTAATAAGGCTCCTAGCAAGGGCTTGTAGGAAAGCAAGGTAAATGTGACTGGAAACTTGACAAAAGGGCTCCTGCTATATAGTGGCAGAAATTTTTAGCAACATTGTTGCCACAGTAACTGGGGGATCTAACTGATATTTCCAAGCAAAATCTTAAAAGTGTTGCCTGGTTTCCCTTAACTGCTTATAGTAAAATATAAGTGGAGAGATAAACTGAAGCTCTTGCCAACAACCACAAGCTTGAGGGTTGACTTGTATTCTCCAACCCATTCAAATCTACAGCAACAGCTTGACCACATCCTCATGAGAAACTATGAGCCTGAGTCACCCAGCTAAGGCACTCTCTCAGATTTCTAAACTTCAGAATCTCTGTGAGATGTGAAATGTTTGTTGTTTTAAGATGTTTAATTTTAAGCAGTTTACTCATTCATTGATAAATAATACAGTTATCTTATTTCAAAAAAAAAAATCTTCCTTCATTATGACTTCTCCAGCATTTGACCTATTTTTCTGTAGAGTTAGCCCCTTAAACACAGTAACACAAAAAAGTGAGAGGAGGAGATTGTAATAACAAGGTCAGGTACCTTTTCTGGGTAATACAGGCAAAGAATTCCTTTCTCTATTTTCTTGAGATTAAAAGAGACTAGCTATAACCTTCTTGTTCATGACCTATTATTAAGGATTCTTAAGACTATGGCATTTAAGAATGCTCATCAGGTTTTTTAATTAAAAAAGCTAGCAGAATCAGTAGCAATTGAGTTTAAAAGTAGATTATCATTGTCTACTACCTAATGATAAGATTTTCCAGAGATAAGAGTTTCCAGATATCACCCCTCATCTTGCTGGTACACTACTACAAGTGAAGATCTTTCTGTCTATGTGTCTCTTCCAAAAAGGTAACTTCTACTCAGCTTTCACAGCTTTCCATATGCCTGCTGCCTTTTAAAAATAACTAGCTCAAAATGATCAAAATGCAAAGAAGCCATATTTTAGGTAAGTATATTTTGCTCCCCTACAGTGGGAACAGGGCTTCTGGTGCTAGTGCCAAGGTATCCATCCATAGGTCAAAAAATTATTACCCCCATTATTATCCCCAGTCTCATCAAAACACCGACCCCATTAAATATATTGATATTTGATCTCTAGAATATGTTGTTAATTAATTAAGTGGGGTATTTTATATTCAACAGTGTGTCAAATCAATGTTATTAACATAAATATAGCACTTGAAAATAGTTTCTATTATTGAAGACAATATTGAACAGCCAACAATTTTTATTCAGAATCTATACTAATATTTCCCTTGTATCTTTCTTATTATTTTTCCATGTTTTATTTAATTGGCAATATAACCTCTATAATCTGCTTCATATTGATTCATTGCTAGTACCAGAACATTAATTTTTATAGAAATCAGGTTTCTTTTCAAATTGTGATTCATTTTTAGCCCTCTACCATTTCATTTAGTTAGTCTCATTTTTAGCTCAAGACAGATATTTCTGAACTGCTGATACAAACACTAAAAAATAGGACATGTATTTTTTTCTTTGTAGAAGATATTAATGTCTTCAAACATACACTTAATTGAAGATAAATTCATATGTATAAGGGTTATACTATTTATTGGGAATATTGTGAAGATTCTTGATTCCTACAGTTGTCTTCTCATGACCACTGTGAAGTTCAATTTCAAAGATTTTTTTATCTTTATCCTTTAACTCAGAAACAGAGATCTAATTAAAAGTACAAACTTAAGTTGTGTGTTTAGAGAAATCTTTTTTTGAGTGAAGAAGAGATCCATATTAGAGTTATAAGTATGGAGGGAAAGCAGTTAAGAATCTATTTAGGTAATCTTGGCAAGAGATGATTAAAAACCTTCACCAATATTGTGAATGACACAAGGGAGGAGAAACATTGGGAGAGATATATTGGATAAAGATTCAGAGATAAAATTGACAAGATGTGTTTCATCTATTAATGCTTTATTAACAAGGAAGATAATTAATGGGTACTTGGACAGGATTTTCCTGGTGATCTCAATATTTTGTGTCTATCCAGTGAGAAAAATTCTAGAGAGGAAGATCTGACTCCTTTACCTCTGAGAGAATGGTCATTTAAATGAATTAGGGAAACATTTTATATTCATACAAGTGTAATATTTAATGTAACTCTTTTTCTGAAATCTCCTTTATCTAAGGAGTCTGAGAATTTTAATTAAACCTCTCTAGCCCCAATTTGCATAATGGTGGGACAACATCCTTTGAACTTATCACATTCTCACATTTGTGTAATTTATTAAATCATCTATGAAGTTATTTTACAATTACAGCTACACTGAGAGTTTAAAAGAAGTCAGGAAAGTTTGAGTAGTATTAGATCCTAAATTCTCTTAAAGTAGCCTAAATGACAAAGCAAAAACATAGAGATCATTCCAGCAATCACAAACTCCAAAACACACTGAATATTACAGCTACTCTACACCTTTACCGGCCATGCTCATTGCTCACCTAGAGTAATACAATACTCTAGAGTAATTCAATACTAGTGCATCTCTAAAACAGCAGGAAAAAAGTATGTAGAGCTCTGTATGGAGAGCTAATTTTGTGTTAATGGAGCTAAATTAATAATCTGTAGTCCTCGTATAGACAACTCCCATTATTTTCTGTTCATCAATGTTCATAAAACTGTGGCTTATAATTAGAGAAGAAAGTGTCTATTGTTGGTTGTGAATAGAAAGAATGAGGAGATGTGTAAATCAGGCTTATTCACCATTCATTCCTTTGGACTGAGTTTAAATATCTACTAACTAAAATATTTATAGTAAGGGAATAATGAAATATTTGAGAGCAGTGAGTGTATATATATATTTATACATAAAATATGTATATATTATAAATATAATCATATATTACATAATGTATCATAAATTTATTTGCATACATTATAATATATAGCTCTAATACACATGTATTTTATATATATGTGTGTATATCTTATATAACAAAATGCATAAAGTATATTGTAATATATAATACATATAAAATATATAAAGTATGTCCAGATGTATTATATATTTTATATATGTTATGTGTGTTTTTGTGTGTGCATGTGTGTGTATAAAGAAGTGACTTTATAAAGTCCTAAGCACAAAGACGATTTTGCTCTGATTCCTTAGCTGAAGTTGTGGCAGTCGCTCAATTAGGAATGTAACTAGAACATCACTTGGCTATAAACAAGAAACACCTTGAACTCATTCTGCAGTGGCTGCAGAAATCTTCATAGGTTGTGTCTAAACCCTTTGCACCACCAGGGAGGCTCTCAATTCTTTTTTTTTTTTTAAGATTTATTTTATTTATACAAGAACCAGGGTACAGGTCAGATGTGTGGGAGGGTGAGAGGATTCATCAGACACCGAGCAGGGAACTGAACAGGCAGACTGATGAAATACACTGTTGAGGGGAGCAGAGGGCAAGGCAGGAGAGGTCTGCTCACCATGTGGGTTGCTCTGAGGCCGGCAGGAATGGAACTGGCACTGCAGAGGCTACCGACAGCTTCATAGCACTGTGCTCAACCACCTGCACCACCAGGGAGGCTCCTCAATTTTTTTTCTTGACAGAAGAGGATGTGAACAAATATAAGGAAGTGTGTTGTATTTTCTACACTTGCTGAAAATCTGCTAAGAACTCTATTGTCACTTAGAATCTTACCAAATTAGGCTCACTTCCAGTAGCGCTTGGCTTAGCAGTTCTAAGCCATAGGTGGTTAAATCAGATAATCATAGGAATCCTTTCCTTTTCAGCTGTTCCTTACTCAGTATCTCACCTTGTCATACTAAACTTCATATTCCATCTCTTCTGCTTCACCCCCATTAGGTACATACTTCCAGGCAGTGCCACAGGCTCCCAAGTCTAAGCCTTTCTCTGCATAGCAAAATTAAGCCCAGATGCTATATTCTAACTAAATTCACAAGGAAACCAGACCTAACTAGCTTAGCATCATCTTTGAAAAGGAAGCAGAGGGTATATCTCAGCTCATGAAGGAGGAGATTATTGATCAATAATGTCCACTAGGAGGATAGGGTGGTGGTATAACCCGTCTTATATTATACTTTATCTGTTTCACATATTGAGGTATTATAACATCTTTGTTGTTCGCTTAATTGTTATTTATATCTCAGCTTATAAAATCAGTATTTAGGTATTTTTCCCTGTTATGGAGAAAAGACCCATTCACACATAAAGGTTAGATATTGGCCCAGGTTTATACTCCTGATTCATGGAGCTGGACTTTCAAACTCAGAGCTAAGAGACTTCAACCCAACCCTCTTGGAGAAGAGTAATCTGATAAATACATCATTAGAACACATAGAACATTCCTCTGTACATTTACTACACAGTGTCAGTCACAGTGTGATAATATTATACCATGAAAACAAGAATAACTAGAGGACTTATTTATGCTTTACAGAGAAATACTGATACACAATAAATTCAGGGTACTGGGGAGAATTTTGATTGTCACTTCAAAAAGAAGGGAACATTGACTCAGTAAGTGTAATCTATGAGAAGATGAGCTAAGAAACCAGAAAGGTTCCTGCCATAATTTTACACAGTGCATTCAGCTATACAAAATACTTGGGAAAATCAGGAAACAATATATAGCTTGTGGAAAGTTACTGAGGAACAATAAAGCATATTGTGTTTATTTATAATATGCAGCTGCCTAACATTAACAAGTACAATTTCTATTTTCATTCAGATATGATTTGGCAAATTAAGTCAAATACAGGCTTGGTGGCTTTTGTGTCTGGTGTGTGCTTGAGGAGGTTTCCTTCTCCATCAACCTCAGACAGGCTGCATCTCTTACAATCAATGATGTGTGCCCCATTTCCGTGAAGAATGAACTATAGACCAAAGCCCTAAACTATGAAGCAGTATGGCTGGCATGGTGAGTGAAAATGACAAGAAAGGGCTTTCCTTCCCCACCCCTACTGATAGCATGGAACAAAAATGTAGCATATACTTTCTTTTCTACTTTAATATAACTGTCATTTAATTCTGATTTCTAATGAGAATTAGAAACAGATGCTATACTTTTGGGGTGGAAATCATGAGAAATAAAGTGTGAGATTTAGATTATACTGGTTATTTGGTTAAAAATGGTATTTAAGGCACAAACTTATACCATACACTAAAATAAAATTCAAATGAATTAAAGATTTAAATGTAAAAGACATTTAAAATTTAGAAGGAAACATAGGTAAATATATGAAAAGATTTCTTAGATGAGACATAAAAATTTATGATCCATACACATTACAAATATAAGATTAGATTAAAAAAACTAATAAAATATGAAAATAGAAAAATTATATTTATGGATCTTTCACAAAGAAACATTTAAAAAGACTATCAGGAAAATGCAAATTAAAAAGATAGGGAGATACTATTTCAAACCTACCATACTTTAATTAAATGGTTTAGTATATAACTAAGCTTTCCTATGGTTTTGGTGGGAGTGTGTTTAGTTTTCAAAAAGTCACTTTGAGTATGAATTTATGGTCTGTAATTGGCCACTACAGAGCAATGAAGATGGATGAACCATAGCAGTACATATTAATATGATGGATCTCAAGCAATATGCCCAGGAAACAAGTCAGTCAAATATGTGTATTTCATGCATTTTTAAAAGATTTATTTTTTATTTATACAGTAGCTGGGGTACAGGCCAGATGCATGGGAGGGTGAGAGGATTCACCAGAGACAGAGTGGGGAGCAGAACAGGCAGACGACTGAAATACACTACTGAGAGGAACAGCGGGTGCCAAAGGAGAGTTCTGCCTCGCCATGTGGGTTTCTCCCTGGTCACCCGAAATCAACCCCGTGCTGCAGGGGCTGCAGACAGCTTCACAGTGCTGTGCTCAATCTGCTGCGCCACTGGGGAGGCCCTGTGTATTTCATGCATTTTATGTGACTTTCAAAAAAAGAAAAATTATTGGTGATCCGTTCATATGAGATAAAAGTGAAATGACAAGCAAGAAAATGATAAATGAAATTTGGGATGGAGAGAGTACAACAGAAGAACTCCAAGGGAATTCAAATTACTCAAAGAAGGTAGAGGGTAAGGTAGAGCAATTTACTTGCAAAGGGAAGAGTCTCTTTAATTGTAGGAGGAGGGGGCTTAGAGTGCTTATATGTGGATAACTCTTATCTCCTCCCAAAACGCAAATACTTAAGTAAGTTCTGAGTTCTGCAGAAATGTATTTTATAAATGGTATCATTGCTACTTCTCCATTTCAGTGATTGAAAAAATGATCAGGTGAGGAGTTGTGGCAGCAAAGCCCCACTGGCTGGCTGTAAATTTCTGTCAGTCCAACAAACTCAGTGCTTCACTGATTCTTTCTTACATAAGTTCCATTACCAATTCATATTCTGATTCTAAAAAAAAAATAATCCTTCCTCAAAGAGTGTCTCCTGCTGAATTTTAAAATTTCCTGCCAGTATTTATTTTACAAAAATGACAATGCTATTTCAGCACAGCATTTTCCTAATAAAAGTGCTTGCTCAGTTTTTACTGATCTTCAGATATCTTTTGACTCAAAGGAGACTACTGAGATTTATTTTGCTATAAATTCTGTATTATTTGCCTACTGGAACATATTGATTAGACAGTACAAAATGATGACAGTAATTCAATTCAGAAAAGTAATAGTAGAAGTGAGACTTTCTGCAGGGGAAAAAATAGTTTAAGTTAAAATACCCATCATTATAAAAACAAAGACAGACACATTTAAATCCTTATTCCACAAATTAATGCAAGTCAAACTTAAGAAACAACCTATCTTCCCTAACCTCCACATCCTTCGATGATCCTATTTCTCATTTGATATTAGTATCAAACCTAGATATTTAACTCCTAGCACAGTGCTAGGTGAGAGTAGACAAGTATTCAGCCATACAGTCATTATAGTATATTGGTTTGTTCTTGCTAGAAACAGTTATAAATACTTATTTAATTGAAAAATAGTGAACATTTTATTTTCCAGAACAACTTGAATTCTGAAATTGCTTCTATATGTTATAAATTGGTTTCAACATTTTAGTTGAATTAAAAGGAAACTAGTTTGAAGGATACCTCTTGTTGCTAGATGTAGTGACAACAATGGCCAACTTTTTGCAAGAGGTATACCTTTAATGAGTATCTTTTTTTAATATTAATGTTAAAAAGATGTAGTATAAAAAATGTAGTATTATATCTTTTGTAATTAAATTATATTTATATTATATATAATATTTATATTACCATTTACTAATAATATTAAAAAAAGATACAGTCATCTGATTTTCAATCCAGCCCAAGCAGTTTGTTCATTTAAATCTCTCTGCACAGGTCTTGCCAAGACAGTGTTAGTCTTTACATCATGATGATCTTTATTTCCATATAAATTCCATCCTTTGTTTCCTTCTACCCACTGGTTCTATTCATTCATTCACTCACCCATTCATTACTGTGACATCTGTTGAATGTCTAATATGTATTCACTATTAATTAAAGAGCACAATTTTTTTAATATTTTTTGTTAATATTGGGTTACATTGTTGTTTCTATTATAGGAGTTTAGGGTACCCCCCTTCAGGCATTGTTACCATAGTGCACCCACCACCAAAGAACCCATAGTCCACCACCATAGATCCTTCCTTATGCACCCGCCTTTCTTTGTTCTCATGCCTCCCTTTGCCCATTCCCCTCCCCCTCTAACTGCCCCCATTCCACAGTCAGCTTTCAAGGCTTAGTTTTTTAGTTTGGCTTTATCTGACCCTTCATTTTGTTTTTCTATATTTATTCCACATACAAGTATACTTTCAGGTATTTAAGAGCACAATTCTCTCTCTCTTCCTCAGGATAATTCTTCAAATACTTTATGACAGCTATGAATCTCTTGATTTTCCTCTTAAGCATCGCAATTCCATTTAGCAGTTGATCATGCCATAATGATTTGTGACTCTTCATCATCCCAAGCTCTCTTTGTAGCATTTTTATATCTCCAATAGGCATAATTATAACTGGGTAAAGGTCTTCCTTTGTTATGTAAATTTTATTTTTTCTATGTACAGTATTATCTTAAAACATGTTTGACAATTTCACGCTTGCATATGTATTTACTGGTGCTACTAGATTTTTTGTAATTAATTTAGATCATTGATTCCCAATTTCTCTGAAACTAAAGTATCTCTTAGAGAACTTATTCATTATATGATATAAAAACCATTAACCTGCATATTTTCATACAGTAGTTTTGGGTTGGGTATGGGAATCTTTTTTGCTTTTTTTTTTTTAAGATTTATTTATATGCATATAATAACTGGGTACAGGCCAGAGGTGTGGAGGGTAAGAAGATTCACCAGAGACAGAGTGGATAACACAGCAGGCAGATTGACTGAAATACACTGCTGAGGAGAGCAGCAAGAAAGTCAGGAAAGGTCTCCTGTGCCATGTGAGTAGTTCCCTGGCCAGGGATCAAACTCACGCTGCAGTGGCAGCTGATAGCTTCATAGGTTGTGTCTTAGCCCCTTGCGCCACCAGGGAGGCCCCCTTTTTTGCTTTTTGAAATAAGCTGTGCCTGGTGATTTTTTTCTTCAAAGAAGTTTAGAAAGCATTGGTAAAATGTATTAATATCAATATAATTATACTAATTATAATCAGTGATAGTTATATAAAAATTAAATACATTTACTGGATTTGTATATAAAACCATGGAATTTAAATTAAGGCTATATTGAATATGTCATAGAGGTCACATCTAACCTGGAGTGTAGAGGCAAGCCCCATGGAGAACCAAGAGCCCTAATCTGACTTTCACTGACTGCCTCTGTGAACCTGGACCAGTCAAAGTCTTTCTTTTATACTCATTTCCTTGTACTGAACAAAGCAGATAGTAATAATTTTGTAGCTATTCAATACCCTGTATTTTTTTAGGATAAAATGAAATACTGTAGTTATAAATGTATAATGGGATAATCAAGGTTAATATCATTATGTACTCTCAAGAACATTTCCAGAGATTAGGTAAAGCATAATGAATTAATTAAAATTAAAGTTTCCTAATTTCTTTTCAGTTATTAAAAATATTTGACATTGTACTCTTATGCATGTCCTTTTCTTCAGAAAGATTATAGGCCAAATGGTACCAACTGTGCTGCTATTATTATATTTTCTTCTGGCTTCAGACCAGGCTGAAATACATACAACCATTTATTTTTAAAATGCCTGTGAGTCAAACTGAGTTCCCACAGCTTTTGTGTTAATGAAGCCAATCTAAGGATCAAATGCTCTTGACATTTAACAACTCTATGGCTGGTCATTACATATTTTGTGCAAGTAAACAGGTAAAGGTCTTCAGTGTGCATTGATATATAATCAACTCTGCAATTTTTCTTTTTCAAACAGTGACCAAGGCACTGTTTTTCTCAGTGGAAAAACAACCAACACCACCAGTTTTTTTTCTAGGACTTGTTCATTTTACCTTTCATTTTTTCTTAATACATGTCTCATTTCCACCTTCATTTTTAAATATTACAGAATAAAATGTAACATTTTAATCTCATATTTCTAGTTTATATTGAGGATATTCTGCCTCATTCAGGATTTGGGGGAGTGATTAATGACAATAATCAATGCTATAATGTTGACTAGACTCTTCTAACTCATTCTTAAATAAGAATGAATTAATATGTATAGAGACAGTCAGCCTGTCACCATGGTACCTCATTGAGGCAGGACCTTTGGAGATAGACTTTTGGCAAAGTTTTGCAAGTAGCAATATCCTATCTTGATGTCATTTGTATTAAAGTGCTAGCATGAAAATTATATTAAAAAGGCTAAGATAGACTCTATTTTATTCTTGGTTTTTTAAAGTAAAAGATGGTTTCTGTCCTTGAAGATTTTAA